AAAAAAAAAAAACTTAGAGAAAACAGTGGCAATCTTTGTGTTAAAGAATTATTCTCTATCTAAATTTTCCTGAATCTCCAGGGCCCACCATCACAGCAGTTAATGTAGTGCCTCCCTCACTTCAAATGTTCAGTTAAGTGTTCTTTAAAAAGAAGGAAGGGAAGTTAGAAAACTAAGTAGCTCTAGGGCCAGAAAAAGAAAGATATGTGGAAATAAACTGTCAAAGAAAACTATTCAAAAGAAAAATGAACTTCTGAGGGAGATGAGCCTTTCTCTCACTGAAAGACTAGTCTCTTTCAAATACATTATACTTGCACCATGAGGGAGATTATTCTAGATAAACTTTAATATTTTTTTCAAGCATAAGACTGATTTAAAGTGCCTAGTGACTTTGAGATGGCCTCAGATATTTACTTAATTTTTTTAAATATGCAGACTTCAAATTATAAGATACCAATAAACTTTGGATTTTTGTTATAGATTCTATAATAAAACTTACATCTCTTAAATTTTTCACTTTTAATTTAGCTACTGGCTTTTGCAAAGAATTTGGATGTAGAATTCAGCTTGGAGGCAGAAAGAATGATTCATGGCTATTATCTAGCCAGTCGAAGAATCAGAACAGATTTTATATATGGATCAAAACTGTCAGCATCTGCATTAAAATATTTGTAGGTATTCAGTTCAAGATTTTAAAGGCAGTATTGACTTTTAAGTGGTGTATTTAACTTATGTTATCCATTTAATTTGTTTCTCTGTTTGATCGCTGATTGGTTGGTTTATAATATACCTTGTCCCAAAAGAATTTAAGACGACTTAATAATTTATTTTTACTCATATGAACCTCTAATAATTCTTTTCACTAAGTTTATTTTAGTAGGAACCTTGTATGATATGTGTCTGAGAAAAATATCAAATGATTTTTGTTTTTTTAAAATGTGGATATTTATAGTCTAAGTATTTTGTAGTAGTACCTAGAAGATTTCTTAAATATATTGTTCCTGTACTTTTAAATACTTTAATGGACTCATCTGTTACTGTTCCTTAAAATGTTAAAAAGTAATCTTTATTATAAAAGGAAGTACAGACATTATAAAGTCTAAAATGACAAGTGTCCTAACTCTACCTATTCTTATAATCACTGTTATCCCAGAGATAGTCACTGTTGACAGTTTTTATGTATTCTTCCAGAAATTATCCATTCAAATGCTAGCATATACATAATATATAATTTAAATATGGTATGTAAAATATATTTTATTCAATTGTTATATATTTTAAAATTAATGTGTTAAGCAGGATGCAGTGGCACTCTCCTGTAATCCCAACAGCTCAGGAGGCTGAGGCAGGAGGATCACAAGTTCAAAGCTAGCCTCAGCAACAGTGAGGTGCTAAACAACTCAGGGAGATCCTGACTCTAAATAAAATGCAAAATAGGGCTGGGCATGTGATTGAATGCCCTGAGTTCAATCTCTGGGACCCCCCCAAATTAATATATTAAACATATATATAAGCTTATAAATATATACATCTATATTTTCATGTGGATAAATATGCTTTTTTGCCCAAATAGAATCAGGCATATACAGAATTACCTTATTCCATTTTAATAGTTACATTTTAATAGATTACAGGCATGTGCCACTGAGCCTGGCTAAACATTTTAAAAATAACAACCAATTACAAAGTGCTTTCCATTTTATTAAGTAATATTTAAAATACTCAGATCAAATTGTATTGCTTTAAACTTCTAAAAGTCCTGTTTCCTCACAAGGAGGGTAGCCAGGATGGTGAAGGGCTGAAAATTATGTCTCATGACTTACTATTTTTTTCATTAT